TTATGGGTCGGTACCGACTTGATGGCACTTTACAACAACAACATCTTAAACATATTCTTATTCATGGCTTTTATTAAAGTGACAAAATGTGAAAGCAGCTGAAAATGACTAATCATTATCATGCATTAATAATCAAATGAACATAAATTTGCTTTGTAGAAAAAGATTGCATTGATGCAGTTAAGTACTGATTTTTTAGTCATTTCTAATTGTCAAACAGTAAGTACAAACAAATCTTCTTTGTAATACTGATCCATTTAGGTGTTCAATAAATGTATTAAATTCATGTTATATAAATATAAATATGATTTATCTCCTGTACCAATGCAGTGGAATGGACAAGTAATTGAACTATAACTACTTAGTCAACCAAATAACTGAAGGCTGTTCAAAATTCGAAGCATAAATGTCCAATTCTAATTTACTAAGAGATTATCATAATACATTATTTTTCCATAATTTTATAGGGATTTATAAATGTTTCATAGGAAATTTTGACTCTAAGCAATTTCTGGGTTAAGTGCTAACTTTGGGCCATAAACTCCATGGAAGATAAAATGCCTATAATTTCCTAAAATGTGTTCACATATGAAGTTTCAAGTGTTAGGAAGCATCTGATATTTTTACAAACTCACATTTATGTTTTAGTATGTTCCAGTCATCTTAAAGAGAGTGCTAGGAAAAAACAGGCATCTTAGAACAAATAACTCTTGGTACTTCCTCCAACTCTTTGACTTATGTGCTCTGTGTAATTTATTTAACTCTTTTCCTTATTTTGAACCACAGTTTGCTCATCAATAAAGCAAGCTGGCTTGACTATAATATCTCAGAAGACCTTTCTCCCATGAAAGTTCTGTAAGTTTGTGACTTGGTATACTCACTAGAATGCTTGGCACATGGAACATAAGTTGCCATGCATTTTCCCATCTAGTCCACGAACAGGGTCATTTTCTCTGGTACAGAAAAGTATTCCCTTCTTTGCTTGATCTTGAAATTCACTGCAGAGTTTCTAAATAATGAACATGAGGCCGATTAGATATAGTTCATGATTCTTTATAATTTTTAGATGTTGTTTATTAAAGATATTGGAAGAGAGGAATTAAGAATTAAAAATAAAAACTTTTAGAATGTAAGACTGTACACAATTTGGTATTTTTCTTGTAATACTGATCCATGTAACTATTCAACCAATTTATTGAATTAATAGGATAAAAATATAAATACTATTTGACTCATTTACCAGACAAGTAATTGAAATATTAAACATTAAGGACTTTGCCACAGGTCTGAATCAAGCATGCATGAGCACAAAGAAAGGATTAATTCATGGACTGATAAAAGAAGAGCTATGTCTGAGTTGTATCTTTGAAGATATGGTCCAGATACATTATGTGGCAGTTCAAACCCACCAGCCGATCCTTGAAAACCCTATACAGGGTTGTTATGAGTTGGAATTGACTCAATGGCACTTAACAACAATAACAACAACAAATCATTGTTCTAAGGAGTCCTAATAATGTAGTGGATTATGAGCTGGACTGCTAAATGTAAGGTCAAAAATCATTCCACAAGAGAAATATGAGCTTTTCTGCTCCTGTATAGATCTACAGCCTCAGAAACCTTATACAGAGTCGCTATGAGTTGGAAATGACTCCGTGGCACACAACTATCAGTCATTGTTCTAAGTCTCATAGAAAACCCATTCATAGAGGCAAACATTTAACCAATATTGAGAATGTATTCCAAAGTTATATACAAAGACAATATACTCACAAAATTCAGAACAAGACCGGTCTAATAAATCCTCACCTCAATTTCTCTTTTAACTTTCATTTTCTCTTTAGCATTTCTCAGGTTCTCATCTGCTGTATGTTTTTCTTCTGAAAAGCGTCGCTTGCTGGAAAGATAAAAATAAATGAGTAAAGCAGAGACGCTTTAAATCTTCACACTATAAAATAATCTTTTAGGAACAGAAGGAAAACAGCTAGGCTTTCCTGTTCTGGTAAAACATTGTCAAATCATCTTTAATACAGGGTCGCTTTGAATCAGAACTGACTCAATGGCACTCAACAACAACAACAATCTTTCTCAAAACAAGATTTGCTTATGCCCTTCTCTACTATAAATATTTTCAATTTTCTATTATCTAAGAATAAAATCTAAAGTCTTCTAAAAAAATAATGAAAATCTTTAGAATTTGAGTGATCTTCAATCTTAAATACTTTGGATATGTTACATGAAGGAACCAGTCTCTAGAGAAGGATATTGTGTGCTTAGTAAAGTATAGGGTCAATTAAAAGGAGGAAGACCCCCAATAAGATGCAACAACAAGGTGTCAGCAACAATTGATTCAAACATTCTAAGGATAGTGCAGGATTGAGCAGTATTTTGCTCTGTTATTCACAGTGACTCTGTATGATAAGCACTGGACTTCAAACCACAAGGTTGGCAAATGGAGCCCACCAGGCACTCTGTAGGAAAAATATGAGGCTTTCTGCTCCTACAAAGATACACAGTCTCAGAAATCCTATACAGGGGTCGCTAAGAGTTGGCTTTTCATGACAACAGCAACATAGATCATTATGAGTCAGAACAGACTTGATAGCATCTAAAAACAACATCCAACAAAAAAGATAGTAAGAAGAAGTCTACAGGAGAAAAAAAAAAAAAAAAAAACTTTAGCTGACCAATACTGAGAAGAATCGGCAGAGAGAACAGCATGTATTTATTTGGTGTTATTTGTCCTTTTCCCAAATATTAAACATTCCAGGTGAAAAAAATAAGAGTCATCTGCTTAATGGAAGAACATAAATTTCTTGGGTAAGTCCCATCAACCTTGTTACAATGGGATAATTACTGAAGAAAAAAAGAAAAAAAAAACATCAAACTTGGTATCTTTTTGTCCCCTTCTTTTATCATGATTAGATCATAGAGAGGCTTATAAACGCCACATGGTAAAATATTAGAAGTGTTTTGTAGGCCAGTACTGCAACTGGAAATTTAAGTCTATTTATATTCAGAAATAGACACACAACAGTAGGAATAAACAGGCAACGTTAGCATCTACTTTGGAGTTCTGCTATGGCACTGTGGGTTAATGCGCCAGACTGCAAAGCCCTTTGAACTGCAAGGTCAGCTTTTCAAGCTCACTAGCTGCTCCTCGGAAACCCTATACAGGGTCCCATGGGTTGGAACTGACTCGACATCACTTAACAACAACAACAATTAGCATCTACTTAATAGAAAGTATTACGATTTGTGGTGGTTGGTGGTTATGTGCCTTGGAGTTGGTTCTGACTCATAGCGAACCTGTACAGGGTTTCCGAGGCTGTAAATCTTTATGGGAGCAGAAAGCCTCATCTTTCTCTCACGGAACAGCTGGTAGTTTTGAACTGCTGACCTTAAGGTTCGCAGCCTGATTCGTAACCACTACACTACCAGAGCTCCTTATTACAATTTGTGGAGGGCATAAAACTGTTAAAAAGGCTCTCAAAATCCCAAACTTGACAAACATTAAAACATTATTTTTACTCATAATTCCAATCAGTCTCTATTTCCACAGTATAAGTCACTCTGAAGAAACTGCTTTTATACTCACAAAAATTCTGCACACAAGGCACATTTGTTGCCATGCATCCTGCCATCAGGGCCACGGACTGGGTCACTTTCACGGGTGCAATAAAGTCTCCCACTCCTCACTTGGTTCTCGTATTCCTTGCAAATATCCTTTAAAAAGATAAGTAATTCCATTTAGTAATTTTGTGTTTTACCTTGAAACATTAGACAGTAGATTTATAGTCATCGAAAGTCTAGAAGTTGGTAAAAATACAAAGCTTTTTTGAGACTTCATAAGCAATAGTACTTATGTTATCAATTTACTTGGCACAACAACATTCTTGTCAATGGAGAAAAGATTGAAGTAGTCAAGGACAACAACATTCTTGTCAATGGAGAAAAGATTGAAGTAGTCAAGGACTTCATTCTGCTTGGATCAACTTTCAACACTCACAGAAGCAGCAGTCAAGAAATCAAACGACTTACTGCTTTAGGCAAATCTGCTGCACAAGACCTTTTTAGAGTGTTGAAGAGCAAAGATGTCAGCTTCAGGACTAAGGTGCGCCTGACCCAAGCCATGGTATTTTCAATAACCTCATATGCATGTGAAAGCTGGACAGTGAATAAGGAAGACCATAGAAGAATTGATGTCTTTGAGTTATGATGTTGGAGGAGAATATTGAAAGTGCCGTGGGCTGCCAAAAGAACACACAGGTCTGTGTTGGAAGAGGTGTACAAGCCAGAGTGCTCCTTGGAGACCAGGATGACCAAACTTTGTCTCATACTTCAGACATATTATCAAGAGGGACCAGTTGCTGGAAAAGGATATCATGTTTGGTAAGGTGGAGGGTCAGAGGAAAAGAGCAAGACCCCCAGCGAGATGGATTAGCAAAGTGGCAGCATCATTGGACACAGACGTGGCAACAATTGTGAGGTTGGCCCAGGATCAGGTAGTGTTTCGTTCTGTTGTGCAAAGGGTTGCTATGTGTCAGCACTAACTCAATGGCACCTAACAACAGCAACATATCTGCTATGTGGCTCATTAAAAAGAAAAAGATCCCAGACAAAAATTAGACTGAACAAATATTTCCTAAAACTAGGTAATTCTTGTTAACTGTAAATCTATGAAAAAAATCAGGCTTCTCTTTTAGTGTTCTACTGAAATACAATTTATGAAAAAACAATAGACCTTTCATGAAGTTCCAAGAAAAACGTAAGAACATGCAATTTTATTTGTTGTTAAGTGCCGTGGAGTCGGTTCTGACTCATAGCAACCCTGCATAGGGTTTACAAGGAGCAGCTGGTGGATTTGAACCACTCACTTTTTGGTTCAAACTGACATTGCAGTCGAGTGCTTATCCTATAGTAGCCAGTATAAATTAATATAAAATAAACAAATGCTACTGTGAGCAAATAATGGAATCTATGCAATAAGACATTTAAAAGTCACTTAATATAACCAACTCAATAACAATCCAATCTAGTTTACAGAAGGAAAAGCATTAAGATGGTATTCAACTACTTTATACTTATTTGTGTCTATTTTGTTATTGTTTTGGATCTCTGTATCATCATTGTTTATGTCTAAATTAGTTAGTGCTGATTTTGAGCGTTGTAATTTCAAACATCAGAAAAAGTGAATCTAATATTCCTATAGGCCACACTCAAGACAGATCATCAAGTTTAAGATTTATTTCGAAAACCTAGAAAGGTTGTGACTTCCTAAAGCATCTCAAAGAGGCTGATATAATGTTCTAGTTTACTGTTTCATGTTCCCTCTGTTTTTGAAGATTCTAATTATCTAATGAGGGCTAAACTTAAATGAAAACATACTTCTAATAACCCTAGGCCTGGAGACCTCTATGTCAATAAGTATATTTGTTGACAGTGTGCTGTTTGTTATTAGGTGCTAACAAGTTGAGTCTGACTCATATTGACCCTATGCACAACAGAATGAAACACCTCCAGGTCCTGCACCATCTACACAAAGGTGTTGTTGTTATTAAGTGCCATCGAGTCACTTCTGACTCACAGCTGACTCTGTACAGGGTTTCCAAGGAGCAACTAGTGAGTTTGAACCACCAACCTTGCAGTTCAAATTGACCATGAGGTCCAGTGCTCAACCTACAGTGCCACACCAGGACTCCTATCCTCACAATAGTTATTACATTAGAGCCCATTGCCACTGCCACTGTGTACATACATCCCATTTGGGGTTCTTCCTCTTTTTAGCGAACCCTCCACTTTATTAATCATGATGTCCTTCTGCACGGAATGGTCACCCCTGATAACGTATCCAAAGTATGAGAGGCGAAATCTTGGTATCCTGGATTCTAAGGAGCATTCTTGCTGCTCTTCTCCCAACACAGATTTGGTTATTCCTCTGGCAGTCCATGATGCTTTAATATTCTCCTCCAACATGATGACTCAGCTGCATCAATTCCTCTATGATCTTCCTTATTCGTTATCCAGCTTTCACGTGTATATGACGGTGCTGAAAATACCATGGCTTGGGTCAGACACATCTTAGTCCTCAAAATGATAGTTTTGCTTTTGAACACTTTAAAGAGGTCTTGTGCAACAGATTTGTCTAATGCAATATGTTGTTTGATTTGTTGACTGTCCTTTCCATGAATGTTGATAGTCAATGCAAGCAAAAGGACGACTTTGATGATTTCAATTTTGTCTCCATTTATCATGAAGGGTTTATTGGTTCAATTATAGGGATTTTTTTTTCTCTCTCTCTCTTTACATTGAGATGCAACTCATATTGAAAACTGTAGTCTTTGAATTTCATCAGCAAACATTTTAAGGCTTCTTCACTTTTAGCAAGCAAGGTATAAATTACCATAACTCCATCTCCATTTCAAATAAGAAGACATGATATAAACACAGTGTCTGGGAGTCAAGAGACCTGAGCAGTAGGCCGTGGCTCTTATTCAATGTGAGACTGTAGCGAAGACCCATCAGCTTTGGGAGCTCAGTATCACAAAATACACAATAAGGTTATTGGAATAAATGTTCTTTAGGCACCTTTTCTGGACCTTGCATCCTCTGATTTTTTTTTTTTTTTCCTTAATCATATTTCAGTAGGACACTAAAAGAGAAGTCTCTAAACAAAAAGATATATGTTTCTGGAAGAACAATGGGTGTACTCCAAACTTCCTGGTTATAAAAATCTAGGGACACAGATTCAGAAGACACTCACCTGACAATCACAGCACAATAATAAAATCAATGCTCAATGAATCTTATATAGAAACAATGATAATTTCAGTTTATGGACTGTGATTCATCCAGAGAGATTCTGAGGAAACACTGTTTTGAGCAACCACTGACAGGTGAATTATGGAGCAGATATTGAGTCATCACTATAGAACTGTTCTAGCGAACCTGCTGTTGTGAAGTGCCACCAAGTCAATTCTGACTCATGATGATCCCATGTGATGGGGAGAATTGCCCTCTAAGAGTATCTTGGCTACAATCTTTATGGTTGCAGATCACCAAGTCTTCCTCATGTGAAGCCACTGGGTGGGTTCAAATTTTTCAGTTAAAAGCCAAGCACTAAACCGGTTTTCGACCAGGTCTCCTTCCTATTCAATATAACCATGCTAAATAACTCCATCAACATGAAGACCCTAGCCAAGGAAGAAAGAGGGAACTATAGTCAAGATCTGATGACAGACAAGGAAAAAGACCTCTCTAGGCTTACAAAATAATACAATGCTGATTAACACTGGCTGAACCAAAGCTTAAGGCTGAAATTTAACAGCAAATCCCACAAAATTTGCTTTTCAAACCTTTAGTGAATGTTCAACAAATTATACAGAGTTTTGAATGCTTCCTTTTTCTAATTTCAAGCTCAGAACACAGTCTTTAGGGTGGAAACTTTGCTTCAGTGAATGACATTATGGAGTGGAAGGTCCCACCTTGGCCTATCCCAAACTGGGTCATTAGGAAAACACATACTATACTTTCCACTAAAACGATCACAGAAAAGTACAAGACATAGACTCATAATATGAACAGTTGAGATATTCAACCTTTTTATTTTATTTTTACAACAAAACTGAGGCCCAAAGAAAGCAGTTGGCATTCTCATTTTCACCCACTTGGAGCCCAACAGAACTGAGGTTAAAAGCTCAGGTATTTTTACTTCTGAGCAAAAGGTTAGTCATTTAGCAAAGTAGTTGCTATAACTATCCTTGAAAGAAGGATTTAGTAACCTTGATGTTTTCAGGAATTCAGGTTAATTACCTACAATAAATCTTCAGTAAAGAAAAGGGAGGAAAGAAAAACCAAATATATATACCTATATATGCACAGGAGCCTTGGTAGCATTGTAGGATAACCAACCATCTGTTTCTCAGCAGAAAGATGAGGCTCTCTGCTACCTTAAAGATTTATAGGTTCAGAAGCTCTATGTAGTTGTTAAGTGTCATCGAGGCAGTTTTGACTCATAGCTACCCTGTACAGGGTTTCCAAGGAGTGGCTGGTGAGTTTGAACTACCGACCTTGTGGTTTAAAGTTTAGTGCTTATCCTACAGGAATCCAAATGCCCTATGTTGTTGTTGTTAAGTTTCATTGAGTCAGTTCCGACTCATAATGCCTCTATATAGGGTTTCTGAGGAGCAGCTGGTGGGTTTGAACTGCTGTCCCTGTGGTTCACAGTGTAGTGCTTATCCTATAGCACCGTACCTGGAGTCCACCAGGTGCCTATACAGAGTTGATATTAGTCAGAATCAACCAGATGGCAATTGGTTGTTTGGTTGTATGTATTAGTCGGAATCAGCCAGATGGCAGTTGGTTGTATGTATACTACATTGAAAATAAAAAATCTTCAACTGACTTTTATTAAATAAATTATTTAAAGAAATTTTTAAAACCATGGTCTCAATATGTGTTAGAGACTCATTTAAGCAGAAGCAAGAACTTTATCAAGGTAGATCTCAGTGAATGTTATAACTATAGTGCATGCATGAATAATGCCAACAAATTTCAGTGGACTATATGTAAAAGAGCTCTGGTAGCATAGTGGTTAAAAATCGAGCTGCTAACCTCAAGGTTGGCAGTTCAAAACTATCAGACGTTCTGTAGGGGAAAGATGAGGCTTTCTGCTCCCATAAGGATTTATAGCCTCAGAAACCCTGTACAGAGTCACTATGAGTTGGAATTGACTCCACAGTACTAAACAACAACAATATATAAAATTCATCAATATATACACTGCTTTTTTTTTAAGAGTCCAGAATTCTTTTTTAAGTCATTCTGTATAATTTATATGATGTTACACATTTTTAAAAAATTTATTCAAAGCAAGATTAATTTAAATTAATTGCCAAAGAGTAGACTGGTAGACATTGAGCAGAATTATTTTGCTCTCTTACACCTACTATTTGTTTTGAAAGCAAGGAAGGGAATTATATATTTTGGACCCAAGGTTAAGAAATGATGTTTAACTGAGTATCTAATGAGTAATAAAGTAGGAATAGTTAATTTGGGGAATTTTGAAATAAAAAATAATACTGATACTATTGGACAATGACATTATTGCACTATTTTAAAGGTTTAAGTCCAAATATGTTCACTTATGGCCCCAATAACCATATTGTGTGAATGAGTCACCTTTTCAGCATTTCGTCGACTTCTATTTTCACCTTCTTTCTTATCATTATCTTCAGCCTCTTTTAAACTGATTTAAAAAGAAACAAAAAAAAAATCAACATTTGGTCAGTTTATGGTTCAAGCATGTAATTAATATTTGATCCTTGATTAAATACTTGTGTGTTTTTTTGCCATAACTTGTTGAAACCGATCCACTTACATGAGGCAAACATTTCCCGGTCTTAAATGTCTGAGCCACAGAAATTGCCAAAGATAAGGAAGGGTGTGAAACTGACTCACTGACAGTCAATTAGAAGCTTTGTTCAGTAAAACTGAATGGGTGTGATGCCTTGATTGACAAACAGAAGATTGTCAGGAAAAGTCTCTTTAACAGGCAGAACCAAGGGCTTCAAAACAAAGCTTTGAGGAGAGTGAAACCCAACTGAGCATTTGAGGCATTGCTATCCACGCCCTTATGTATAGCTTTTTACACCTTGTAAAGTACTTGTTTGCCTTCATGTAAAAACATGGTTATTAATAAAAACTACATTTGAGGTGCGCTTCTAAGCCCTTTCATATCTATTATTTAATTTCAGTCTTATCTTATAAAAAGGAGCTGCTATTTCAGTCGACATAAGAATGAATCAAGAGTTAAAAAGGCAAGAATTCTCTTGTTCAAGCAGTGATTTAATTGAAACAGGAAACCACAAAATCAAGGCAGGTTTAAGCACTGAAAGTGCATGCTTCCTTAAACAAGAAAATAGAAATCAGGATGAATCCATGTCTGAAAACCTGTTCTAATCGCTAATATCAAAAAATTGTTATTTTAAAAATGTAATTATTGTTGTTAAATGCCGTTGAGTCAGTTATAGCCTGTGATTATCCAGCAAGGGTCTCTACATTAAGCAATGTGTGTTAAATTACTGACCTACATTATCCCACATGCAAATACTTTCTAAATTTTAAAGTTCCATGCCTTATAAAAGAACCAACTCCATGGCACACAGCCACTACCACCACCACCATGTGTTATAAACACTGTGCAGTTTCATGTCATTATAACTACAATGGACTACTGGTATGGTGCTGTAGTCTAAGCACAGGGCTGTGAATCATGAGGTTGGCAGTTCAAACCTACCAGCTGCTCTTCAGAAACCCTATACAGGGTCACTATGAGTCAAAACTGACTCAGCAGCACTTAACAGCATCAATAATTAGAATAATTTAAGAGTCTCAAATATAATAACTAACATAACCAATTTAGGGACCCTGAATAGCACAGAGGTTCCTTAAAGGTTGGCAGCAAACCCACTAAGTGAAAAAAGATCTTGAGATCTGATTTCATAAAGATTTTAGCCACAAATACCCTAAGGAGACATTCTATTCTTCACATAGGAGGTTGCATGAGTCAAAATCTACTCAACAGCAGCAGATTTAAAAAAAATATATATTTACCTTTGTTGTTGCTGTTGTTAAGTGCTGTGTAGTCAGTTCTAATTCCTAGGGAAACTGTATAGGGTTTCCTGGGCTATGAAGCTCTGTGGGAGCAGAAAACCTCACCCTCATCCTAAGAAGTAGCTAGTGGGTTTGAACTACTGCCCTTATGGTTCTCAGTCCAGTGCGTATCCTACAGAGCTATGTTCACATATCTACCTTAGCTCCTCCTTTTCAAAAACTTCTGTAGATAGCATGAATAAAAAGAAAAGAAATCACCTTGTGAGTAAGATCTCCTTCACATTATGAAGGCATAGGCTTGCAGGTGTCATGAAACTGACTGTATCCCTCTATGGAGTGGTTCTCAATGCAAGAACCAATTGCACTGTCATCAGGTTCAAGTGCTTGGGGATGATGCTACTTACAACAGCTCAGCACACATAGCACACTTATTGCCATGTGTCCTTCCATCAGGACCAAGAACAGGATCATTTTCCCTTGTGCATCCAAGTCTTCCATCCTTCACATACGGCCGAAAAGCACTACACACATCCTAAGGAACAGGGAAAGGAAGTTGGCACACACCATCCTGACTGTCACGCTTGCAACTCTGTTTCCAGAAATGTAGAAGTCAAAACCTCTCTGTCTGATGAGTTCTAGCTTGAATACCAATGTCAATCAAGGAGCAATAACTGAATAACCTTTGTATAATTGTTGTTAAGTGCCATCGAGTCAGTTCTGACTCATAGAGACCCTATATAGACTTTCTGAGGAGCGGCTTGTGAGTTTGAACCACTGACCTTGTGGTTCAAACCAACCTTGTGGTCCAGTGCATTGTCCCACATGATTAAATGTGACTGTAGCGCCACATGATTAAATGTGACTGACATTCACTGACTAACTAACTCACTCTAAAAAAATGTAATGATGTGTTCTGTGCCAGAAGTAGGAACAGCATAGTTTATATCCTCAACTTACTTATAATCTACCAGGCAAAAAGATTTAAAATAGTTTGTGTGCTAATGGCAGGCACTATAGAATCAAGTACAAAGGGAACCAAACCTTGACTTAGGGAAAGCATCTAGCTAGAAGTATGAGTATGACGTGTAAGTTACATACACTTCCTACTCTTCCTATCATAGGCTCACAGCATTTCAGCAGAGAAATAAGATATTGAATTCAAATCTCACATTTGGATATGTAAACACTGCTTAGGAAAATTTCCAAGATCTCATGATAGCAAGTGAACAGTGCTGAAGCTTCAATTCAGGTTAAGTAACTGGAATTTAAAACTCTTTCGATTACACACCTATCTCATTTTGATTTAAAATACTTCTTTGTCTTCTTCTTCTTTTTTTTTTTTTAATAGACTGTAGAAATAGAGCAGAAAGGTTTAACTACCAAAGTATCTTGCTCAAGTTACAGAAGCTACTAATTGCTTCTAAAAGCAGTATCCCATTAAAAGGGGAATTAAGGTTTACTTTCTCCATAGCTGCTCTGCTCATCCACCCAGAAAGACCAGAGCTTCTGCTTTCTCTTTAACTCAACCCACTCTGTTTTCCACCATTCTCCATACCTCATCAGGAATATTGTTCTCACATTCCCCTTCATTCTTTATGCCGATTTGGGATCTGGTTTTCCTGGAATTGAATGTTAGTAGACACAGCTGTTTAATATCACAGAACTTCCCACCATTCAAATCTAATTTCTACTCATCTGAGTGCATTTCCCCTTTTCACCTAAAAACAGCTAAGAAGAAAACCCAGTGGGCAGTTTGATACTCATTGTTGTCTAATAAGAATAATTACACAAGAATTTAGGGGAGGTATTTTCTCCTGGCCCAGATATTTAAAGACTTCATCATGGAATTCCATATATAAGAAATGAATATGCAGTGGACCTATAGCAGTGTTAGAAAGTAAAATAAATCAGGTTAAAAGTTCTCTGTTCTCTGTATGTCTGTTCTTGTTTTCTGTACTTTATGGGGTCTTTTGGTGAGAGCTGAGGGTGTAATTTTAGACTCTTTCTGAAAATACAGTCGTGTGAGGGGCCAGAGAGATTTAATCAGTTGTATTTTGAAGATTTTTATTATGAGGAGAGATAAAGCCTACAGGAAATTTTGAGTGAATACTTTTATATTCTTTACTAGACTACTCAAGCAGTGATTGTTATATTTGCAAAAACTGAAGCACAGATAGTTTAAGATTGAGGTCACAAGCTGGAACCTGCAAAGCAGGTCTGCCATGTTGTTGGCATTGAGGGTGGAGAAGGAACAGAATGGGGACACAATATAGGACAGTAAGATACTTCAGCTTATTTGGCAAACGTTAAATAAATTGGAAGAAGTTCAAGATTAAAAGTCCAAATTGCCTTCTCTAATACTATAAATTACTGAGCATTTAATCTATCAGTTGATGTTTAAACCACACTTTGTAAAAAGCAATTATGTTGGTAGATAGGTAAATAGACATAGAAGCAGACAGATACATGTGTGTGTGTTTGAGTGCGCATCCCTATCCTGTCCAATTCATGTAAAATATTTTGTAAACTCTAAAGTGTTATACAATGTGTGTGCATGTATAAAAGTTTATGCAAAATTTCCATTAGCTTTTAATTCAATCTTTCCATGAACTTTTTGAATTGCACTCATTCATATAATGTATGTTGTTGTTGTTGTTGTTAAGTGCCATCGTGTTGTTGGTACTGACTTGTAACCACCCTGTATAGGGTTTCCAAGGAGTGGCTGGTGGGTTTGAACCACTGACCTTGAGATTCAAAGTGACCTTGCAGTCGAGCACTTTAACCCACAG